CCCATGTTACTGATGAGGAAACTGAGTCAGGGAACTAGCCCAAGGTCACATATCCGGGAGGTAGGTGGTGCCAGGATCTGAACCCAGGCAGCCTGGGCTGCAACACTACACTAAGCTGCTTGGCCCTTGGTGGGGCTGGGCAGAGGATGAGGAAGAGAGATGCCCAGCAGAGCAGGCATGGAGCAGGCATGGGGAGCCACGGGCTATTCCATGCTACCCCAGGACCAAGCAGGAGGCTGTAAACGTGGGAGGCAGGACACACAATGCTTTGTGAAACTGGATTCCTTAGGTCTGGGAAAAAATAACCTTTTAGACACTCACTTCCAAGTCTAGCTTCTAAGATCCTGCCTGTCCTGAACCCTCGGTAACCTGTCTTATAACGTTTTTACCCCTGCCGTTTACTCTTCTCCTGGCAGCCAGAATGATCCTCTTAAAACCAAATTCCTGCCACCCTTCTCAAAATCCCCAGTGGTTCCTCACCTCACATAGGATCAAGGCCGAAGTCCTGACAACAGCCTCCGAGGCCCTGCACAGCCACATCCATCTCCTTGCTGTCGCCTCAACATGATGGACACTTTCCTGCCCCAGGGCCTTTGCACCTATTGCTCTGCCTGGAATGCACTTTCCCCTGAATGCTTGGCTCAGTCCCTCATCTCCATCAGATTCTTGTTCAAATGTCACCTTCCTGGAGATGCAATACTCCCTCTGCCTCACCAATCCTCCTCCCTGCTTTTCCCCAGAGCACTTTCTACCACATGACAGACCACATGTTTTACATACGTATTATGTCTCCGCCACTCCCACCAGAACATCGGCTCCGAAGGCCAGTGATTCCATCTGCTTTGTTCACTGCTGCATTTCCAGCACTAGGTCAGACTCTGGCACTTAGCAGGTGCTCAGTTAAGCATTTGTCGAATGAATGACCAAAACTGGGTTTTTCATCTTCCTCCCACCCCGACAATCTCCCTGTCTACTCTATCCTGACCACCTGTTAGGGGATTGGTATGCACAGCCAACAAATGAGTCCCTTAACCTCTTCTACGCCTGGTTTCCTTATCTTCAAATGAGAGCACTGGACTAGATTATCTCTAGGGGCCTTCCAGCTCTGAAAACCTTCAACTCACCCCCCCCCACCAAGGCATAATTCTTCACTAGAGCAAGCCCATAGTTGCATTTACTTGATTATAAAAACCGCATTTCCCTTAGAATTTTCCACAGTCAAAGCCCCCACAGCCCTCACAGCCCCCACGCCCCTGAGAATGTAAGTGACGTCTGGCTGGAGTTTGGCTCCGTGATTTGTGACCTGCTCACCAGGTCAGCACCAACCTCAAGTGCTGGGATCACTGGTCTTGTAAAATCGACCCAGGCTGGGTTACGAGGAAGTAAACCAAACCACATTCAGGTGTCCCTTAGGGTCAGGAACACCACCTCTCCTTGTCCCCTCCGTTTAACACCACCTCCTTAGCAGCCAGAGCTAAGGAATTAGTTGGTTTGGGGTTTAGCCAGAACCCTTCTGGAGAAGTAACAAAATTAGGTTTTCTGGGCCAAAAAGTAGGTGCTGGGACGTAAGCAGAGTGCAGTGTATAACAGCATGGGCAGTGGGACAACTGGGGCCAGGAAGCCCACGTCAGAGGGTCGTGGGTCCTTCAAGGTCACGCCTGACCAGGGCCAGCTAGCCTCCCTCTGACTTCAGGAAGCCTCGGGCCTTTGTCTCCCCGTCTGAAACAGGGGCTAAGTGAGTCTAACGCTCCACAAAGTGTCTACAGGCCTAAACCCCACCTGGCCCATCTGACCCAAGGCCAGGGTCGGATTCACCAGCATCAGCTAAGGCCTATGTTGACATTCTTTTGATGTTTAATACATAAGTCACTTCTGAGTGAATGCTGGGTCACTATATAACATTACTGCTTTGCTCTTTCGAAGGTACTCTATTAGCTTTAATGACAGAATCAATATAAACTCACTTGATAGGTCCTTTGGAGTCCCTGCCTTCTTGACAAGACTCCAGCCTCTGGCACAGCCCTTGGCCCCTAACAATATTTGCTGCCACCTGTTAACTGATCAGGTCATACCAAGAAGTGAAGGGTGCAGCGGTTAAGCCTGTGCGTCGGAGGAGTCAGACCTAGGGAATGTCCTGGCTGTGCGGCGTGCTTCCCACCCGGCAGCCTGAGCCCCGCAAACCCCTCTGTGCCTCGGCTGCCTCATCTGTGAAGTGAGAATAACAAGGGTACCTACCTCCCTCTTAGGGTTGTTATAAAGATTATGTAAATTAATAGTTAACACATGTAAGTCCCTTAACCCAGAGCCTGACATATGAGTGCCAACTGGATGGTAGTCATTATTATTAGAAATTTCTTCAAATTACAAACGTCCTAAGGTTTGGACAAGTCCTTCCTGGTGTGTATTCTGGCAACCTGGTACTAATTCAAGGCTCCATAACTGAGTACATCCAAGCCTAGGCCAGTCAGGGGGAGCCAGGAGATGGCACGCATGCCACCCGCCCACTCCCCTGCCTGGGACAAGCGTCTCTCATCTGTCTCAGCTCTCCTCATCCTCCCCCAACCCTGAAGCCGAGCACTGCTAAGACTGGAGACAGGTTCGGGCCGCTGCTGTGACTATAGAGAAACCTGCCTGCTGTCCTCTGATCAACAGGTAGATATGCTGGTGGGGGACAGGTTCACACATGAAGGCAAGGACCACATCTGCCTGAGTCATCAGAAACAGATGGAGCTTCGTCTGTTCACTGCTGTAGACCCAGCACTTTGGACAGTGCCCGCCATGCAGTGGACACTCGAATGTCCACCGAATGAGTAGACCAGCCTCACATCCACCTGAGTCCACAGCACACGGCACTGGGCCTTACCTAGCAGGCGCTTCACAGATGTGGGAGGGTGGTGGGAGAGGCCTACGAGACCCTCACCTGAGCCCACTATTTCTGAGTGGAGAAAGCACTCGGCTTTGGCAGGTTCAAGGCCTGACACAGCTACTTACTACTCATCACGTGACCCTGAGCAGGGCCTTTCCTTCCTACAAGTTCAACAACAGGGAGGGGCCAGCCAAAGCCCCAGGCCCTTTCCAGCCCTGACTTTGCAGGAAGCACTTCCAGGCACCTCTCATCTCAAGACTCCCACTGCCCCATAGGCCGTAGCTGCCTACACTGTCCTCAGGCAAAATCCTCTTCCAGGAGGAAAATACGGGCGCTGGGCAGCTGCTGGTCAGGACACCGGTCAGCACCTGTGTCCACAGGTCCAAGCCCGGCACCCACTGCTCTGTTCCAGCCCACACTCCCGGTCCCTACATCACCCCCACACCCAGCCCACCCTCACTCACTGAGCACCTGCTACTACGGGCCACCCCTTGCGGTGAACAAGACAGGATGACCCTTGCCCACGGAGCTGGCCCTAGAGAGGCAGAGGAAAGTACACAAATAAGTGAAATATTTAAAGAGCGTAAACAGGCCACAGGCCCTTGAAGAAGAGGGTCAAGGAAGGCTTCTCTGGGGAAGGGGGACAGAATCGAGACCTGAAGGATGAAAGGACCCTAATTATGGAAGGATCAGAGGGAAGAGCACTCAGGGCAAAGGAACGGCAGCTGCGAGGGCTCTTGAGGCCAGGGGCTGGCACACCACGGCCGTCTGTGTGATTCCATATTATCTACAGCACCTTCTGCATTACGCGGGCAAGGCTGAGAAGCTGCCACAGAGGCCATGGCCTATACTATCTGGCCTTTTACGGGTCAACCTGGCTGACCCCGGGGTGGGTATCAGAGAAACAGAGAGAAGGTCAGGAAGGCAACAGACCAAATGAGGGAAAGATTGACTCTGGGGAGGTGGGGGCTGGGCTGGGCCACAGTGACCTGCAGCCTGTGTCACGGCCTCCAGTCCACCCTGCAAACGGTTGCCAGGGTGATCTCCCTGAAACACACGCTACTCTTCTGCTCAAAGAACTTGAACAGCTCCCAGGTTTTCCCAGGCCTGTCCCAAGGACACTGGCTGTGTGGGATGAACCTCAATAAAAGGGGTCCATGGTTACATAAGTTTGAGAAGCTTGGCATTCTCATCTCTCTCGGATGTTTTCATGCACACACATTAGCACAAGAAAGGCTCTGGAAAGTTCCACAGGGAAGAAATCGGCTGCGTTTGCTTAGTCCACTGTCCTTCAAACTTACTTGGCCACAGAACCCCTTTTTTCCACAAAATATCTGTTAACTTTAAAAAAGAAAAGTATTCCATGGGCTAAAGGGCAAACTCCTCTGCTTGACCCCAACTGCAGTAGGGCGTAATTGCAGTAGGGTGTAATCCTAGAGGCTGCTCCAGATGACATGTGTGGCCTGGACAGCCATCTCTCCTGTCTCTCCCTTGACTTCTCGCCTTCAAAGCCCACTCGAGGGAGCAGCAGTGGCAGCATCAACGTTTACCACCGTGACAGACACCCAGTCCGTGGGCTCGTCCAGCATCTCTTCCCGCTTTCTTTGGTAAGGAGCCCAGCTTTCACCTGAGGGCGACCCCTCCCATCGCCGGCCAGCTCCAAGGGTGAGGATACACCCCTGGTCTGGCTCAGCATCCGGATATTCCATTCCCCAGCTTTGCAGTGACTGGTTCAGGGGAACAAGCAAGCACAGGACTCAAGCCAGGCCGCTGGATTCCAGACTAGGATGGGACAGGCTGCCCCGGAGTTCATAACACCGGAGATGAGACAAAATTCAAGCCCAGGTCTTTCTGCCCAGTCCTGTGTTTCACCCTGAAGTTCCCCCCAACTTGGGCAGGAGCAGCCAAAGGCCAGTTTGGGATTAAGCCACCCTTGGTTCCAGTGACAGGTGCCCACAGAAGATACCAGGGGGGCTGGAAAGTGCTGCCCCCAACTGCACATCCTCCAGGGAAGTAGGGAAATTTCACAGCAAAGGGGACAGGCCTGGACCGCCCATCATTTCGAATGCATGGGGAGGACCAGGGACAGGTGGCTGCTTGGTTGTGAGGCCAGGGGCGGGGGGAGGGGGCGTACCTGCTCGCCGTGCTTTTCCTTCCAGCCGCACTGGCTCCGTCAGCCTGCAGAAGAAACCGGAAACACACGCATTAGCCAATGGTGAAGACACAGATTCTACCCACTGCCATTCCGCCAGGCTGTTGCTCAACACCCGCCTTCCCTCAGACACACGGGCAAGCTGGCCCCGACCCCCTGCTGCTTCCCTCCAGGCTGGAAAAGTCTGCTCCCCATGGCAATGGGGAGCCAGCACACCCCCAACCCAAACTTGCTTGGCCCTTTAAATCCAGCTGAGCACCCACTGCCAACACAAACCCAGCAACCACAGAGCCCTGGGGACTCAGTGGAAAGTAAGTAACCAGCTAAATCTGAGATTGAATTGCACCATTTTTATTTTCAGCTGGGATTTCCAATAAAACAGTAGCCACAGATTTATTCCTACCAATCAAGGGGGGAAATCCTGTTATGTTAAAATATTCTGTCCCCCGACCCTCTGAGCAGGGGAGGCATGAGAGCGGCTGTTCTTAATCTCTTTATTTGGGGCTGGGAGGTGGGGGAATAAGGCTGGTCAAATGAAATTTCCAGAAATCATCAAATTCTGGTTCAGATGGAGACACTGAGGCCTCGGACGAGGAGCAAGTGGCCTGAAGTCTCTCGAGGACTGAACAACAGATACCTGGGGTCCCTGACTGCCAGGCGAGTGCTGGGGGGTCCTCAATGTGGAGATTGCTGACCAGGTTCCAGCAACCTGGGGAATGCCCAGGTTTCTCCACCACCCCTGGTTGAAGATGCATTCCCTAGCTTTCTTTTTTCCTTACTGTTCAAGTACGCTTATCTCCACCTTCCCCCCACCCACATTCCTTAGCTTTGTGAAAACATCTAAATAACAGTGATCCTAGCTCAAATAATGTGGGTTCAAAACCCTGTGGCGCACGTTTGTTCCCAAATTCAGAATCCTTCCGATCTCAGCAAGGCAATGTTGGCACGTGTTCTGTATTTGGAAACCACCCTGGCGGGGCCTGGGGCGCCCCCGGTGTCCGAGCACACTGACATTTCTACAGAGAAACATATGCAGTCAGTCCTGAGTGGGATAAACGAAGATGGCGACTGGCCTCGTTTCCCTCCGGTCAAGTTCTGCCACTTCAACAGTTACAAAAACTCTTTTTTTTTTCTTTTCAAGCTTTTCCAATTTCAGGACTGAGGATGTAAAATAAACACAGTAGCAGCTACCTTTTGATGAGTGCTTATGGGAAGTTGCAAACTGGCAAAACCAGATGGCGGACTTGGATCCAAAAAGTAAATATATGAAAATAAAGGGATTTCACCTCCCCCTATTTCAGCTTCTCTTTAAAAACCAGTTAATCCGGCAACAGACAGTCAGTCCCACATCCCCACAGTCCGCTAGGGCTGGTATACCTGGTTCTCCAGTCTCCGCCCCTCCTGCCCGCCTTATACCCTGTCCTCTAGGCCTTCCTTGTTCCTGTGGGCACCCAGACCCGCTCCCCCGGAGAACTTCCCAGCAGGTGCTAGTGTAGACCATTAAATGCCTCTTATGAAATCCTCTCAGTAGGTCCCCCAACACATCCCATTTTACAGGTGAGGCACAGAGGGTCTGCAAGTCATTCATCCAACACCCCACAGCTACAAGGCCAGGTCTGGGCCACTCCGGTGCCCACGGTCTGCTCAACTTGGTAATCTTTTATCTCCCACCGAGATGCAGGAGGGCCAATCGGGGAATGGAGTAAGCTCACTCCGCCCCTGTTGGCCACACAAGGAAAGTGGAAAAGGACAGGACAAGTAGGAAGGCAGAAATGGGAGGCCTGGGTGGGAGAAATTAATGGCACGCCGGTTTATTATTTCAGTAGGAGAAACAACGCAGAACATGGTCTGCATGTCATTTCACTGCGTGCAAAAGAACAGGATCAATTACAGCCTCTCCCCGACATCTTGCATCCTCAAAACTTGTCTGGATAGCGAGCAGGAACACAGCGCTCACCTGTCCACCGGTAAGAGACCCAAGGGGCGGGGGGTGGAAATTCTGCCCCACAGAGCCTGAAACACCTGTAAAATCCCAACCTCTCATTTTCCGGACTTATGTGCACCTATCCCTAGTATTTCTTACGTCACTGTAACATAGTCTTTTTTGTCCTTTTCCGTCCTTCATAATCGCACACAGAGCTGACCGGTTCAAGGACAGTGGTCGGTTCAAGGATAGTGGTCGTGTGACTGGGTTGGGGAGGAGATTCTCGGTTTTGGGTGCATCCGATCATCCCCAGTTACGTTTCCCTTTTATGAGGCTTATGATACTTGAGCTTTGTCTCACTGCTAGCAACACTCATTTGTTTTCCACACATTTTTATAAAATAAAGACAAAATGCTGAACATGTTCAAAGAGTCGTCCAAACAAATCCCTTGGCAGAGACTAAGGCCGCGCACAGGCAGAATGGAACCTCGGAGGAGCAGCACTGAGAGATGTCCGTCTCGCCTGGAGGGGAGGGGGGCGTGAAACGTCCGTTTAGGAGCTGACGGACGATGAGCTCTAGAGGGGATGTCAAAGGCAGCACGCATCAACATCACAGCACCTGGGCCTGGCTGGGTCTAAACCCACCGTAATGACCGGAGCGCCATTCGGGCCCTCTCAGCCCCAGCTGAGGCCCACGGGGCTGAAGGCTCTGCCTCTCAGTTGTAGAGATCCCTAAGGGGCCAGGCCGGCACGGTGGGTGTCCTCAGCAATCAACAGATCACAGGGGTTAATCACCACTGTCCGAATTCAGTTCCGCCACTGACACAGCCATTTTCCTAGGCCCAAAGCAATTTCATGTGATCCAACCTGAACCACAAACTTGCCTTTACCCAGTGGAATCTGACTTGCTCTCGATTTGAACTGGTATAAGAACACAGGGTTTAGAGTCGGGGGTCTGCGTTGGAGCCCTGGTTCTACAACTTTCTAGCTGTATGTTCCAAGGCAAGTCACTTGTACTCGCCATGCACACACTCAGTCTCCTCATCTGCAAAATGGTAACAGCAATCCCAGGCCCTGCCTCCTGGGGCTGGCATGAGACTTAAACAAGATAACTTAAATACAGTAATGCATGTCAAAGTACTTCGCATGGGCTCAGCTGTAATAATCATCACCATGAACAACCCTAGATACACAGCTACAAAAGCCATCATTTACTGGCTCCACGAAACTCAAGCACAGAAAGACCGAGTGACTCGGATAAGACTGCGCAGGAGGTGAGCAAGCAGCAGGGCTGGGCTGGACAGCACCAGGGTCTTCCCTGCCTGTCTCCGGCCTGACCTGAACCCCAGGCTGCAAGCCAGCACCTTAGGAGCGCCCATCAGACCCTCCCTCACCCCTGAGATCTTGTCCCAAGAGCCGGCGACTATGACATTGAATACAGCAATGCAGGCAAAGTACTAAGTGCAGGCCAGGTACGTATAATAATCGTTTAAGTAATGGAAACTCTCCTGCTGCTGCCACCACTGGGCCGTGTGCTCCTAGAGGACATGCAGCTTCCTGTCCGGGTTCTGCCGGGGTCTCACCTTAAGCCTTGGGCACACTCTTTCCTTTCTCTGGACCTGCATTTCTGCATAGGTAAAAGCAGGGTCAGGAGCATGACAGTTCAATCCGATCCTCTCCAACTTCCACTTACATCTCTGTCCTTCTATGTGGCGTTGGCCCAAACCCCTCTATGGCAAATGCAACGTGCTGGGGGACAGTGGGCCATGAGAGACCCCCCTGCTCCCTCTCACAGAGGCTGGAGTGAAGGTTTCCAAGCCCCCAGCTCACCCTTAGAATACCTGCCCCCGTTCCTGGCCCCCTCCATTCCCCATACACCAGCTTCTCCATAGGACCAGGGCAAGGCTATTTTTGGTTTCATTGGGCCCTCCTCTTCCCTCCCCAATGAATGTTAAGTTGTTCTTTTCCATTCTCTTATTAAGGATTTTCTTGGAAAGAAAATATTATTTCAAACCCAGAAATTTTATTTCTAAATTTGTGCAAATGTAAGTTGTAATACATTAGCTGCATTTCACATTTTGTGCAAATGGCGGAAACAGGCAATTCGTGTGCTACGGGATGGGGGCTGGCCAACGATTTCGATAAAATAAACCCTTTTTTAATTTAAATGCTAATGCACTGAATTAAAATTTAATAACTGAGGAAATTGAAAAGCCGAGCAGGAATATTGGAAATAAATCCAAGCAGAAACAGCTGAAATTAAAAATTCTAGAGAGTGGGAGGACAGCAGCTAAGCTGTCTTATATGATTACATTTTTTTTTTTCAGAATGAAGCAAAAAAAAAAAAAAATCCTATCTCTCGCTGGCTCTAGGGCAGTAAATCCACAGTGCTGTGATTTATTGCTCAATTTTCCTGAGGGAAAAAAGGCTTTCTTTCATGCTGAAATATTTCATAAATTTCAAGCCAGCATAAATTCTTAATTTAAAAGTTATGGAGGTCACATTTAGTGCACTGGTACGGTTCCAAAATCTTAAAGGAATAGCAGCGACCAAAAAAAAAAAAAAAAAAAAGGCAAAGAGGAGGGGTAGAATTTGCTTTTTTTTTCCTTTTGGTTTTAATTCACAAGTTGAAATTTCATTATTAAAGATTCCTCCTGGATGGATGAAACCCAAGCACGTGGGGAACTGGTGTGTGTGTTTGGAAATCTGCTGCAGAAGATGAAGAGATAAAGATTTAATTCAATTATAAAAAGGCATTTTTTTTTTCCCCTTTAAGCCACTTGAGGAATTTCTGGTAAAAATTTCCTCCCTTCACTGCCCTGGAAGGGGTGAGAGGGTGGGGGAGGGTGGCCAATGTAATTGCTTCTCTTAGATCTCCAATCTTTTGTGCGCACTGATATATTCATTTGTTATACAGCTGTTCAGCGGCGGAAAGAATGCTAGGGCGCCCATAATTCTAAGCAAATCAATCAAAAATTAATGATTTGTCATGCTTGCACAATGGAGGAAAACAGCTCCTTGGGTCCTGGCTGCCTGATCTCAAAGAATGAAATGCCTTTCTTCGATAAGAGAGCAGAGCCAGAGGTTCAGGGAGGCTGAGGT